TGGCCCAGCCAGAGCCCAGACCTGAATCCAATTGAACATCTCTGGGGTGATCTGAAGAGGGCTGTGCACAGGAGGTGTCCTCACAATCTGACAGATTTGGAGCGCTTTTGCAAAGTGGAGTGGGCAAATATTGCCACGTCAAGATGTGCCATGCTAATAGACTCCTAACCAAAAAGACTGAGTGCTGTTATAAAATCAAAAGGTGCTTCAACAAAGTATTAGTTTAAGGGTGTGCACACTTATGCAACCAGGTTATTGTGAGTTTTGTATTTTGTATTTTTCCCCCTCAAAGATTTTGTAAAACATTTTTTAATTGAATTGTTCCCATTATAGGTCACATTAAAGGTGGAAAAAGTTCTGACATGATTTATCTTTGTCTCATTCTTTTACATCACAAAAACCTGGCATTTTAACAGGGGTGTGTAGACTTTTTATATCCACTGTAAGAGAACTAACGGGACTGCCCCGTTAGAGCTTCTGACAGACGGTTACTCAACCCTGCACCTTAGAGGCGGCTGCCCCATGTACATAGACATGGAATCACTGGTCATTTTAATAATGGAACACTAGTCACTTTAATAATGTTAACTTGAATAATGTTTACACACTGCTTTACTCATTTCATACGTATATACTGTATACATTGCCACACCGACATTGCTCGTCCTAATATTTATATATTTCCTCATTCCATTATTTTACTTTAGATTTGTGTGTATTGTTGTGAACTGTTAGATACTACTGCACTGTTGGAGCTAGGAACACAAGCATTTCGCTACACCCGCAATAACATCTGCTAAATATGTGTATGTGACCAATAACATTTGATTTTATTTTAAGTTTGTTGGAACCTCTCCAGCGTGCTGACAATTAACAATGATTCATTTAAGATTGACTTTGAGTGTCCCTGTGTAAGACTTTCCACAACAATGGTATGGTCATTTATGACATGGTTATTATAATTTCCTAAATTAAGTAGGCAAGTAAGTAGGCCAAGTGATCCATGTATATTGTTGACATACATTATCACATTATGATGTGAATGGAGAGGAACAATCGTACACAATCAACAATACAATGTAAATGAATGGGAAGGTTCACCCAAATTACAAAACACAATGTACTGCAGGTTAATGGGATGGTTCAACCAAATTACAAAACACAATGTACTGTAGGTTAATGGGATGGTTCACCCAAATCACAAAACACAATGTACTGTAGGTTAATGGGATTGTTCACCCAAATTACAAAACATTATGTACTGTAGGTTAATGGGATGGTTCACCCAAATTACAAAACACAATGTACTGCAGGTTAATGGGATGGTTCAACCAAATTACAAAACACAATGTACTGTAGGTTAATGGGATTGTTCACCCAAATTACAAAACATTATGTACTGTAGGTTAATGGGATGGTTCACCCAAATTACAAAACACAATGTACTTTAGGTTAATGGGATGGTTCACCCAAATGACAAAACACAATTTACTGTAGGTTAATGTTTTATATTGATCTGTGGAGGAGCAAAAGCAACTGATCTTCATACCCCACCTCAGGGAATGATGATAGACTTGACAGTGAAGATTTAAAAGTATTTTTGTTGTCACCTGCCTATTTAATTGTCTTTTACCTGCCTATTTAATTGTGTTTTATATACAGTTTGAAAAGCGGGACAGTCAGTCTGTGAAAAGTAGAGCAAATTCTTCCTGTGCACTCACTAATGATTTGATAGTGTCTGTGCATAGCCGTAGGTGTACACCGCTATAGTACACACTGTCACCTATGCAGATGACTTATAGCATATAATGCTAATTCTAATAATTATATTAGAACATATATATAATATATGCAGTACCAGTCAAAAGTATGGACACACCTACTCATTCAAGGGTTTTTCTTTATTTTTTTTAACTATTTTCTAGATTGTAGAATAATAGTGAAGATATCAAAACTATGAAATAACACATATGAAATCATGTAGTAACCAAAAAAGTGTTAAACAAATCAAAGTATGTTTTATATTTGAGATTCTTCAAAGTAGCCACCCTTTGCCTTGATGACAGCGTTGCACACTCTTGGCATTCTGTCAACCAGCTTCATGAGGTAGTCACCTGGTATGCATTTCAATTAACAGGTGTGCCTTGTTAAAAGTTAATTTGTGGAATTTATTTCCTTCTTAATGCGTTTGAGCCAATCAGTTGTGTTGTGATAAGGTAGGGGTGGTATACAGAAGATGGCCCTATTTGGTAAAAGACCAAGTCCATATTATGGCAAGAACAGCTCAAATAAGCAAAGAGAAACGATAGTCCATCATTACTTTAAGACATGACGGTCAGTCAATCCAGAACATTTCAAGCACTTTGAAAGTTTCTTCAAGTGCAGTCGCAAAAACCATCAAGCGCTATGATAAAACTGGCTCTCATGAGGACCGCCACAGGAATGGAAGACCCAGAGTTACCTCTGCTGCAGATGATACGTTCATTAGAGTTACCAGCCTCAGATATTGCAGCCCAAATAAATGCTTCATGGAGTTCAAGTCACAGACACCATTATTCCTCCTCCACCAAACTTTACAGTTGGCACTATGCATTGGGGCAGGTAGCGTTCTCCTGGCATTCACCAAACCCAGATTCGGCCGTCGGACTGCCAGATGGTGAAGTGTGATTCATCACTCCAGAGTATGCGTTTCCACTGTTCCAGAGTCCAATGGCGGCGAGCATTACACCACTCTAGCCGATGCTTGGCATTGCGCATGGTGATCTTAGGCTTGTGTGCGGCTGCTCGGCCATGGAAACCCATTTCATGAAGCTCCCGACGAACAGTTATTGTGCTGACCTTGCTTCCAGAAGCAGTTTGGAACTCGGTAGTGAGTGTTGCAGCCGAGGACAGACAATTTTTACGTGCTTCAGCACTCAGCGGTCCCGTTCTGTGAGCTTGTGTGGCCTACCACTTCGCGGCTCAGCCGTTGTTGCTTCTAGACGTTTCCACTTCACAATAACAGCAGTTACAGTTGACCGGGGCAGTTCTAGCAGGGCAGAAATTTGACAAACTGACTTGTTGGAAAGGTGGCATCCTATGACGGTGCCACGTTGAAAGTCACTGAGCTCTTCAGTAAGGCCATTCTACTGCCAATGTTTGTCTATCGAGATTGCATGACTGTGTGCTCGATTTTATACACCTGTCCGCAACGGGTGTGGCTGAAATAGCGAACCCACTCATTTGAAAGGGTGTCCGCATATGTAGTGTATATAATATCATAGATTATAGCATTATAGCATTATATATTCCTGTAAATTGATGTGCATCCCTAATTACTAATTACTGAATCAGTCTGACAGTGACTTTGGTACAAAGGAATGCCCCATTCACACAGAACAGAGCAGACCTGGCCCAGTTTAGGTCGCCGTTTGAAAAGGACTCCACTTTACCTTTTAGAAATGTTTTCTCCATTCAAGGCTTCGTTTAACCTGTTGTGATGAAGGCAGCTGTGACGTGTGTTGCTTTCTGTTCTCCAGCAAGGTGCCAGGCCATCATCTGTACGACTACACCGGCATATAGCATAGATAGGACAGCAACCGTACGCTGTCTTCATCAGGCAAGCCACGGATATAGCTAGGAAGGTTTTCCAAGCCACGGATATAGCTAGGAAGGTTTTCCAAGCCACGGATATAGCTAGGAAGGTTTTCCAAGCCTTGGATATAGCTAGGAAGGTTTTCCAAGCCACGGATATAGCTAGGAAGGTTTTCCAAGCCACGGATATAGCTAGGAAGGTTTTCCAAGCCACGGATATAGCTAGGAAGGTTTTCCAAGCCACGGATATAGCTAGGAAGGTTTTCCAAGCCATGGATATAGCTAGGAAGGTTTTCCAAGCCCAGGATATAGCTGGAAGGTTTTCCAAGCCATGGATATAGCTAGGAAGGTTTTCCAAGCCTTGATATAGCTAGGAAGGTTTTCCAAGCATGGATATAGCTAGGAAGGTTTTCCAGCCATGGATTATAGCTAGGAAGGTTTTCCAAGCCACGGATATAGCTAGGAAGGTTTTCCAAGCCATGGATATAGCTAGGAAGGTTTTCCAAGCCACGGATATAGCTAGGAAGTTTTCCAAGCCATGGATATAGCTAGGAAGGTTTCCAAGCCTTGGATATAGCTAGGAAGGTTTTCCAAGCCATGGATATAGCTAGGAAGGTTTTCCAAAGCCATGGATATAGCTAGGAAGGTTTTCCAAGCCACGGATATAGCTAGGAAGGTTTTCCAAGCCACGGATATAGCTAGGAAGGTTTTCCAAGCCATGGATATAGCTAGGAAGGTTTTCCAAGCCATGGATATAGCTAGGAAGGTTTTCCAAGCCATGGATATAGCTAGGAAGGTTTTCCAAGCCATGGATATAGCTAGGAAGGTTTTCCAAGCCATGGATATAGCTAGGAAGGTTTTCTAAGTATGGAAGACGCCCTTCTGGATATTAGTGGAATGTACCTACAGTATATTATAGTGGGTTTTTCTCAGTATACTCAATCTGTCAAACAAAAATATGTTTTCTCACAATTTATTAAAATGTTAAAATAGTTCACAATCAGCAACCATATACTATACACATTTACATCTGTCACAGGAAATCAAGTCATATATTATAATTTATACCTATGTACATATGTTACACGTAGGACTCTGCCTGCATACTGCTTAATCTTCCCCACTGAGTGTAAAGGGGAGTTTCATACCAACACCTAGACTGAAATCTGCTTTTAACGTTTGTCCTCCTTTGCTTTTACACAAGACAGCTTGGTCAGCATTGAGCAGTCCAACCCCTGTGGCAGTCATCCATCCGCACACAGCAGGGTTGCATTCAGTTGGGTGCAAGATTACAGAAATATCTGATACGGAAAGCTCTATACAAGACATTTCTATCTGTGAGGTTTGGAACGTTGTGCCCTCTGGAATGCGACCCACTGCTGCTCCGCGTCAGCCATCTTGGTTTAACAGTCACCCCCTTGTCTATCTCAGTGACAGCCGCAGCTTCCTGCCACCATGTTATCATACTGCTTCAGCACCACGTTCTCATCATCATCAAAATACAGCAGGTTGATGGAGAAGAGCTTGTCTGGCACGCAGCATGGCGTCTCAATGCCTTTAGTCAGCTTCAGAGCGTTGATGATGGACTGGACGGTGGCGTGGTTAGTGGGTCTCATGTTCTGGCCCAGGGGAAAGGGACAGGAGCCCTTACAGTGGTAGGCGTTGTACCCCCGGGGCGACACGATCCACCCGGACCAGCCGATCTCCTCAAAGTCCACGTAGAGAGGCAGGCGCTGGCACGTCATCTTCTCTCCGTCCTCGTCGTAGTCCAGGGAGCGGGCACTGCGGTGGAGGCCTGGAGCGTTGGGGAGGGAAGGCAGGCTGGGGGCGGCTGGGGTCTCATTGGGATCTGGATAGAGAAAAGGTAGAGTTGGTTAGGGAAATGTGGTTCTAATTGAACTGAATACACGCTCAATTAAGATGATTTACTATTGATATTAGGTTCAACAGTAAAAATTCAGTAGTACTGCTGATAAACGTACAAATAAAAGATGAAGTATTATGACAGAGATAATCATGTTCTATTAATACACCAGTAATACAGTAATAACAAATGAATAATAACGTGATAGTGTGGTAGTAATACAGTAATAACAAATGAATAATAACGTGATAGTGTGGTTGTAATACAGTAATAACACATTAATAATAAGGTGATAGTGTGGTTGTAATACAGTAATAACAAATGAATAATAACGTGATAGTGTGGTTGTAATACAGTAATAACAAATGAATAATAACATGATAGTGTGGTTGTAATACAGTAATAACAAATGAATAATAACGTGATAGTGTGGTTGTAATACAGTAATAACAAATGAATAATAACGTGATAGTGTGGTTGTGATACAGTAATAACAAATGAATAATAACGTGATAGTGTGGTTGTGATACAGTAATAACACATTAATAATAAGGTGATAGTGTGGTAGTGATACAGTAATAACACATTAATATTAATGTGATAGTGTGGTAGTGATACAGTAATAACACATTAATATTAATGTGATAGTGTGGTAGTGATACAGTAATAACACATTAATAATAATGTGATAGTGTGGTAGTGAAACAGTAATAACACATTAATAATAAGGTGATAGTGTGGTAGTGATACAGTAATAACACATTAATATTAATGTGATAGTGTGGTAGTGATACAGTAATAACACATTAATATTAATGTGATAGTGTGGTAGTGATACAGTAATAACACATTAATAATAAGGTGATAGTGTGGTAGTGATACAGTAATAACACATTAATAATAATGTGATAGTGTGGTAGTGATACAGTAATAACACATTAATAATAAGGTGATAGTGTGGTAGTGATACAGTAATAACACATTAATAATAAGGTGATAGTGTGGTAGTGATACAGTAATAACACATTAATATTAATGTGATAGTGTGGTAGTGATACAGTAATAACACATTAATATTAATGTGATAGTGTGGTAGTGATACAGTAATAACACATTAATAATAAGGTGATAGTGTGGTAGTGATACAGTAATAACACATTAATAATAAGGTGATAGTGTGGTAGTGATACAGTAATAACACATTAATAATAAGGAGATAGTGTGGTAGTGATACAGTAATAACACATTAATAATAAGGTGATAGTGTGGTAGTGATACAGTAATAACACATTAATAATAAGGTGATAGTGTGGTAGTGATACAGTAATAACACATTAATAATAAGGTGATAGTGTGGTAGTGATACAGTAATAACACATTAATAATAAGGTGATAGTGTGGTAGGCTACCTTTGACTGTATTCTCCAGAGCGGCAGCACGGCGGCCATCGTCAGTGAACAGCACCAGCATGGGCTGCTTGCTCTCATGGTGTTTACGGCCTGAAGCAAAACGCACCACCTTCTGATCCATCTGGCTTCCTCCCAGGGTCTGCACTGCCACCAGCAGACCCAGGTTACTGCCCTCAACAGCCATCCAGGAACGCACCTTTATAGGGAGAGAGTTATGTTGGGTTAGGGGTGGATGGATGGATGGATGGATGGATGGATAGTGGACGGGTGGGTGGATGGATGGATGAATGAGATACTTACAGCTTGTGTAATGGTGAACACTTCCCAGCCAGTGGAGTGGACAGGGATCAGTCTGGAAGACAGCAGCTTCTTCCCCTGAGTAATGTTCATTTTCCTGCTATCAAGAATCTGGTAGACACTGACCTGTGGGGAATGAATGGATTCACCATTAGCTTTGCTTAGCTTACTTTTGAGGAGTTAAAGGACAGTTGAGTCTCTCTGCATGTCTGCCTACATGCATATATAAATGGGTCACATTGAGTTTATACCTGACAAAAGTGATATCTGTTGAATGTCGCCGAAGCCTGAGGCCGCAGCTTGAAGAGATGAAGCTCCGCGGTTAAAACCTTCTCACTCCTGGCCACCATAGACAAGTTGAACAGGAACTCAATTTGTTCACTGTGCACTGTGTGCGGGAAGGATAATACGTATTGTAAAAAGCAAAAGTGCCATGATAGACTTATAATGTGAGCCTAATACGTGCGTAATATACGAATTATTTGTAAATATTGCATAAGGTGAATCATAGGACTGGCAGGTGCAATAGAGATACAGGTATAGGCCTAACCTAATATAACTGATCTATCGACAGGGTCGAGGTTAAAATATCAAAATATTACGTTTGTCGAAGAAGCTGCGAACTGTATTCCCCTCCAGAATGTAGGGATCCTTGGTAACGCCGTCCACATCTGCGACGGTGTTGTACAGGTCGACCATGTACTGAGGCGGCTGCTTGTCGCCCCGGAGGAGAGGAGCATCCTCCATCCCGAACACCTCCAGCAGCCTCTTGATAGCTGCAGAACGCACTTCTTCAGACTCGTTCTCGATGGAAAAGCGGTTTTCCAAATAATTTAGTGATGGTCTTGCAGTAGCCATGCTTACTAACGTGGCAATGGCAGTGATCATCGCAACAGGTAACATCTCAGAGATAAAGTAATGGTGCATGGTTCTTGTTGTGGGTCCTTGGAGCATCTATGTCTTGTCCTCCAGCATGCAGTCGAAGTCCGATGTTGGAGTGACTGGAGAGCTTTGGAAGCTCCAGGTTTTATATCAAATGCTCCAGCATTGGTTGCAGTGTCCCTAAACCCTCGGACAACAGCCATAAAATACGCTATTTAGTCGCAAATGTAAATCAACAATCAGCGAATGTAAAGGAAGGCTAATGGTGGTGTTAACAAGGTGTGAACCCGATTGTAGATTTCATCCAAACAGTCCTCTCAACGTCTGACGAGAAAATCGTAAATAAACAACCTTTCCTTTGAAAAATAACTCAGGACTTATATATGAGATAAATAATATCAATATAACATGCTTTCATGGTATTTAGGGACAAATTAAAGCACTCAATTGGATAGGAAATATCCAGAATATGGTTAAACCCCTCTGAGGACAGCACAGCCAAGGATGTTTGCTCACCGTAGGAGGTTAACCGCCTTATAATGGATCCATTAATTTCGACAAATGGGTATAATGTCGGACGGGAACGACACTTACTTCTATAAACAGAAAGAGAAGTCCTCCTATTTGAGGATGTTTCCATTTGAATCATCTCTTGGCTTCATCACACCTGGTCAAATACAGCTCCAACTGTCATGGTGCCTATACTCATTTATAAATCCAGTTACAATCATTGAACCATCTCTAAATATGCAAATTCATCATTCATTAGTGTGGATAAAATTAGGTTTAGGTGTGCTCTCATGGATTTAAGGGACAATTACAGTGGACATTCTAACATGCAGTTACGCGTTTTATATCAGGCCTGGAACATTCTTGTAAAATATCTTGAATCCACTTTTTTTCGATTGCCAATCTTGTGTGGCAATCGAATGAATTGTGTTGCAATATGTAGTCTCACAAGTTCAGCCGTTATCAACTTTTCAAACCGTCTACCCTCTCTTTTTATGCATGGCCTCTATATACGCAACACACCTTCATGCAAACAACACAATTAATATCTCTTATTATCAATGTATTACCTACATAATATATTTATAATTCATCACGAATGAGGGTTAGGATATAAGAAGCTACATTGTGAATATTTACGCACCAACGACATTGTGCCTTTTTAGGTGGCTTTCATATCATTACGCGTAGCTTTTTTAGCAAATTGTGAGAAATTCACAGTCCTTTTAAGATGAAGAATTTGTAACCACTTGGGTGGTAGCAAACACTAAAATACCTTTCAAGACACTCACACCATGCACTCTCTAAAGAGGAGTCCTTCAAAAACATGTTCTATCGCTTCTTTACTACATATGACACGTCATCCCTAAAGCCATAACATTTCTTGAGGGGAAAAAAAGGCCACACGTAGAGCCAGTATTACAAACTCAAAACTGTTATTTTACGCAACTATTTACAAACGTGTGCCCCTTCAAACAGATCGTGTCCGTCGAATGTTTCCCTCAGATCAACCTTTAAATGGATCGATTACATTTTGTATTCTATTATTTTAAAGCGCTAATCATTGTCATTTAAAAGCTCTAAATTATCCTAGGATTCTCCTACAAATATATCTACAGTACCAGTCAAAAGTTTGGACACACCTACTCATTCATGGGGTTTTTCTTTATTTTGGACTATTTTCTACATTGTAGAATAAAAGTGAAGACATCAACACTATGAAATAACACACGTGGAATCATGTAGCAACCAAAAAAAGTGTTAAACTAATCAAAATATATTTTATATTTGAGATTCTTCAAATAGCCACCCTTTGCCTATACAGAAGATAGCCCTATTTGGTTACTTCATTTTTATTTTTATTTTTAGTCATTTAGCAGACGCTCTTATCCAGAGCGACTTACAGTTAGTGAATACATTTTTTTTTTTATACTGGCCCCCCGTGGGAATCGAACCCACAACCACGGCTGCGTAGTCCCATGGTGTTTATACTTGCATACTATTGTTTGTACAGATGAACGTGGTACCTTCAGGCATTTGGAAATTGCTTCAAGGATGAACCAGACTTGTGGAGGTCTACCATTTTTTTCTGAGGGCTGATTTCTTTTGATTTTCCCATGATGTCAAGCAAAGAGGCACTGAGTTTGAAGGTAGGCCTTGAAATACATCCACAGGTACACCTCCAATTGACTCAAATTATGTCAATTAGCCTACCAGAAGCTTCTAAAGCCATGACATAATTTTCTGGAATTTTCCAAGCTGTTTAAAGGCACAGTCAACTTAGTGTATGTAAACTTCTGACCCACTGGAATTGTGATACAGTGAATTATAAGTGAAATAATCTGTCTGTGAAACAATTGTTGGAAAAATTACTTGTGTCATGCACAGAGTAGATGTCCTAACCGACTTGCCAAACCTATAGTTTAACAAGAAATGTGTGGAGTGGTTGAAAAACGAGTTTTAATGACTCCAACCTAAGTGTATGTAAACTTCCGACTTCAACTGTATATCCATAATTTTTGTTTATATTACCGTTTTGGCATGCTGCACAATATGGTTTCCATAAGCATTATAATTTTACATTTTAGTCATTTAGCAGACGCTCTTATCCAGAGCGACTTACAGTTAGTGAATACATATTTTTTTACACTGGCCCCCTGTGGGAATCGAACACACAACCCTGGCATTGCAAACGCCATGCTCTATCAACTGAGCTACATCCCTGCCGGCCATTCCCTCCCCTACTCTGGGCCAATTGTGCACCGCCCATGAGTCTCCCGGTCGCGGCCGGCTGCGACAGAGCCTGGATTCGAGGATCTCTAGTGGCACAGTTCGCACTGCGATGCAGTGCCTTAGACCACTGTGCCACTCAGGAGTACATAATGAGCAATATGAATTGCAGGTTAGTACAGTCAAACATTTGTTTAAGAGATAAGGAGTTTGTGTCATTGATTCTTCATTGATTTACCTGATGCCTGATAGACAGTTGATTCATAGTTTTGGAATACATTTTATTTACTAAATTGTTTTATACATGTATTTACATATAACACAAGAATAGCTTCAGCAAATCGTTGCATTCAGAGACATCTGTAAGGTGTGGTCCTATAGTAAGAACTATTGGCTTAACACAGGCCTAGACTGCAGCCTAGAACCCGGTAGAGTTGAAGGCCCTAAAGCAAGTCGAAGATCCTAAACCCAAGACACTCCATTTATATCACAAAGGACTGGTACGTATAAGCAAGATGTGAAAACTCCATTTAGCTTATCAAAGCGGCACTGCAACCATATTAATACATTTCTAGGGGGTTGTTTCTGGACAGTCTTAGGGGATGGTGGTGTGTGTGTTCTCCAGTAGAGGACTGGTTCAGGACAGGCAGAGACAGGATAAGAAGGAGAAGACTGGTTGAGGAATATGTGGCTGCCGTAGCTCTGAGGGACACAGGAGTTAGTGGGTCTCTCAGCCCACAGATGGCAGACTACTGAATCAGAGGGGCTCCTGCAAAACAGAGGGAAACAAGGTTTATAAGAAGGTGAAGTGATGTCGTGAAAAACCATGCGTTTAATCCACAACCGAATATATCCCAGAGACATCTAGGACTGTGTTGTGCTGAACCTTCTTCGAGTGTAGACACATTTCTCAAACACACACTTTCAAATCCAACCTATTAACTTGAAATAATATAGGCCTTTATGCAATATAAGCCTATCACTACAATATATGCAACAATCACAAACTAATTGAGGACACTTGGAGGGAGTGTGAATAAGAAACCAAACAGGTCGTATTTAAACAACAACAGCTCAACTTTATGGGTGTACCAAAGTGTTAGAGCTAACAGCTAGCCGGCAGTTGTTATGAGAGAGGTGATGGAGGGAGGAGGAGGAGAGCTGGAGTGCTGCAGGGAGGAGGAGGAGAACTGGGGTGCTGCAGGGAGGAGGAGGAGAACTGGGGTGCTGCAGGGAGGAGGAGGAGAACTGGGGTGCTGCAGGGAGGAGGAGGAGAGATGGGGTGCTGCAGGGAGGAGGAGGAGAGCTGGGGTGCTGCAGGGAGGAGGAGGAGGAGGAGAGGAGAACTGGGGTGCTGCAGGGAGGAGGAGGAGGAGAGCTGGGGTGCTGCAGGGGGAGGAGGAGAGCTGGGGTGCTGCAGGGAGGAGGAGGAGAGGAGAACTGGGTTGCTGCAGGGAGGATGAGGAGGAGAACTGGGGTGCTGCAGGGAGGAGGAGAACTGGGGTGCTGCAGGGAGGAGGAGGAGAACTGGGGTGCTGCAGGGAGGAGGAGGAGAGCTGGGGTGCTGCAGGGAGGAGGAGAGAGGAGGAGAGGAGGAGGATAGGAGGGTGCGCAGGGAGGAGGGAGGAGGAGGAGGAGAGATGGGGTGCTGCAGGGGGAGGAGGAGAGCTGGGGTGTGCTAAGCAGGGAGGAGGAGGAGAGGAGAGGGAGAACTGGGTTGCTGCAGGGAGAGAGGAGGAGAGGAGAACTGGGGTGCTGCAGGGAGGAGGAGAACTGGGGTGCTGCAGGGAGGGAGGAGGAGGAGAACTGGGGTGCTGCAGGGAGGAGAGGAGAGGAGAACTGGGGTTGCTGCAGGGAGGAGGGGAGGGAGGGAGGAGGAGAGAGACGGGTGCTGAGGGAGGAGAGGAGAAACTGGGGTGCTGCAGGGAGGAGAGGAGGAGAACTGGGGTGCTGCAGGGAGGAGGAGGAGAATGGGTGGGGTGCTGCAGAGGAGGAGAACTGGGGTAGCTGAGGAGGAGAAGAACTGGGGTGCTGCAGGGAGGAGAGAGGAGAACTGGGGTGCTGCAGGGAGGAGGAGGAGAACTGGGGTGCTGCAGGGAGAGGAGGAGAACTGGGGTGCTGCAGGGAGGAGGAGATGGGGGAGGAGAGAACTGGGGTGCTGCAGGGAGGAGGAGGAGAGATGGGGTGCTGCAGGGAGGAGGAGAACTGGGGTGCTGCATGGAGGAGGAGGAGGAGGAGGAGAGAGAGGAAACTGGGGTGCTGCAGGGAAGGAGGAGGAGGAGAACTGGGGTGCTGCAGGGAGGGAGGAGAAGGAGTACTGGGGTGCTGCAGGGAGGAGGAGGAGAACTGGGGTGCTGCAGGGAGGAGGAGGAGAACTGGGGTGCTGCAGGGAGGGAGGAGGAGGAGGAGGAGGAGGAGGAGAAACTGGGGTGCTGCAGGGAAGGAGGAGAACTGGGGTGCTGCAGGGAGGAGGAGGAGGAGGAGGAGGAGAGAACTGGGGTGCTGCAGGGAAGGAGGAGAACTGGGGTGCTGCAGGGAGGGAGGAGGAGGAGAACTGGGGTGCTGCAGGGAGGATGAGGAGGAGAACTGGGGTGCTGCAGGGAGGTGGAGAACTGGGGTGCTGCAGGGAGGAAGAGGAGAGCTGGGGTGCTGCAGGGAGGAGGAGGAGAAGGGGGGCAGGAGGGGGAAAAAATGGGGTTTTGCTGAGGGGGAAGGAGGAGGAGGGGGAGGAGGGGGGAGGAGGAGAAAAAGGGGGGGGGGAGGAGGGGAAAAATTTTGGGGGGATTGGGGTGCTGCGGGGGAGGGGGGAGGAGAGAGGGGGGTGTGGGGAGGAGGGGGAGAGCGGGGGTGCGGGGGAGGAGGGGAGGGGGAGGGAAAAACTGGGGTGTGGGGGGAGGGGGAGGAGACTGGGGTGCAGGGGGGGGGAGGGGGCGGGGGTGGAGGGAGGAGGGGGGGGGAGAGGAAAATGGGTTTGCAGGGAGGATGAGGAGGAAACGGGGGGGCCCGGGAGGGGAGAACTGGGGTGTCCCGGGGGAGGAGGGGAATGGGGTGCAGGGGGGAGGGGGAAAAACTGGGGTCGCGGGAGGAGGAGGAGGAAGGGGGAAAAGGGAGAGGGGAGAACGGGGGTGAGCGGGAAAGGGGGGAAAACGGGGGTGTCAGGGAGGAGGAGAAGGGGGGTGTGCAGGGAGGAAAAGGAGAGCTGGGGTGCTGAAAGGGGGGGGGGGAAAAGGGGTCTGCAGGGGAGGGGAGAAACTGGGTGCTGCAGGGAGAGGAGGAAACTGGGGGCTGAGGGAGGGGGAGAAGGGGGTGCTGAGGGAGGGGAGGAAGATGGGGTGCTGCAGGGAGGGGGAAACTGGGGTTGCATGGAGGGGAGGGGAGGAGGAAAAAGAAACTGGGGGGGGGCTCGGGGAAAGGAGGGGGGAGGAGAACTGGGGTGCGAGGGGGGAGGAGAAGGATTAATGGGGTGTCGAGGAGGGGGAGGAAACTGGGGTGCTAAAAGGGGGAGGGAATGGGGTTCTGCAGGGAGGAGGAGGGGGGGAGGAGGAGGAGAGAAACGGGGGGTGCCAGGGAAGGGGGGAACTGGGGGCTAGGGAGGAGGAGGGGGGGAGGAGGAGAGAACGGGGGGTGCGGGGAAAGGAGGAGAATGGGGGGCTCAGGGGGGGAAAAGGGGAGGAGAAACGGGGGTGCTGCAGGGGGATGGGGAGGAAAAAATGGGGGTTCTGGGGAGGTGGAGAAGGGGGTGCTGCAGGGGGGAAAGAGGGGCGGGGGTGCTGCAGGGAGGGGGGAGGAAGGGGGGGTTTGAGGGGTAGGAGGAGAACTGGGGTGCGCGGGGAGAGGGAGGAAAACTGGGGTGCTGCAGGGAGGAGGGGGGAAGCGGGGGTGCTGCGGGAGGAGGAGGAGAACTGGGGTGTTTGCGGGGAGGAGGAGGAGAGATGGGGTGCTGCAGGGGGAGGGGAGAACGGGGGGGTGCTGCAGGGGGAGGGGAAAAGGAACGGGGGGTTGCTCAGGGAAGGAGGAGGGAAACGGGGGGTGCTGCAGGGGGGAGGGGAGAAACTGGGGGGCTGAAAAGGGGGGAGGAGGAAATTGGGGGCTCAGGGAGGGGAGGGGGGGGGGAAACTGGGGTGCTGCAAATAAAATCAACAGGTGGTAGACATTACAGTGAAATGCTTACTTACAAGCCCTTAACCAACAATGCAGCTTTTAAGAAAAAAAACAACAACAAATAGTCCGGGTAGCCATGATTAGCTGTTCAGGAGTCTTATGGCTTGGGGGTAGAATAGAAGCTGTTAAGAAGCCTTTTGGACCTAGACTTGGAGCTCCGGTTCCACTTGCTGTGCGGTAGCAGAGAGAACAGTCTATGACTTGGGTGGCTGGAATCTTTGATAATTTTTAGGGCCTTCCTCTGACACTGCCTGGTATAGAGGTCCTGGATGGCAGGAAGCTTGGCCCCAGTGATGCACTGGGCCGTACGCACTACCTCTGTAGTGCCTTGCGGTCGGAGGCCGAGCAGTTGCCATACAGGCGGTGATTGCAACCAGGTCAGGATGCTCTCGATGGTGCAGCTGTATAACTTTTTGAGGATCTGAGACCCATGCCAAATCTTTTCAGTCTCCTGAGGGGGAATAGGCTTTGTCGTGCCCTCATCGCAACTGTCTTGGTGTGTTTGGACCATGATAGTTTGTTGGTGATGTGGACACCAAGGATGCTGCAGGGAGGAGGTTTCTACCTGTTCCACTACGTCGATGAGAATGGGGGCGTGCTCAGTCCTCTTTTTTTCCCTGTAGTCCACAATCATCAGGGAGGAGGAGGAGAACTGGGGTGCTGCAGGGGGAGGAGGAGGAGGAGGAGATGAGAACTGGGGTGCTGCAGGGAGGGAGGAGGAGAGGAAAGCTGGGGTGCTGCAGGGAGGGGGGTGGGAGGCAGCAGCTGTGTTCTAGTTTACCTGAGAAGACAGCGTTTTCCTGTGGTGCAGCCTCCCAGACATCTGCCCACGTCTATTTCCTGTTGAGACATTAGCAACACAGAGAAAAGGCCATCAGCAATCAGCTCACCACAGGCTGCAAACACCAGCCATGCCAGCCCACCAGCCATGCCAGCCCACTAGCAGGGGGCCAGGCCAGTCCACTAGCATGGGCTAGACGAGCAGGGGGATCTACTAAACGTGTTAACTGCTTTGATTTGACACCTGCAGGGACTATATGTGTTTGCTCTCCTCACACCTTTTGTGAGAGGGGGTGGCAGACAGCTCAAACACACAAACAGACAGGGAGATAGATTAGTTAAATAATGTCTGGCTCAAACACACAAACAGACAGGGAGATAGATTAGTTAAATACTGTCTTTTTTCTCTTTCTACATTCACATGATTTAAAATGAAACACAGTGTAAAAACAATAGAAGTGAATATTATTATTATTATTATTACTTCAACAAGTTGTAGATGAACACCCTTGTCCTCTCTCATCCCCGTGTAATCTTGCTGACATGTAACCATGAGTAATGTTTTATTTCATTTTCTCCTAAACCAAGACATACTCTGTTAAATCCCTCTAGTCGAACATCATAAAGACAGTAATTACAATCATTTCCTTTTAAACCAAACTCACTCAAGTCATGCCTAATCCATACAGTATCTCCCAGCCAAGAAGATAGACAGTCTGATAAAGCCATTCCAACATACAGTACATCCTGTGTGTTGGCTGATGTGTATAAAGAGAACAGACACAACACCTAACCTTCACATCCTAAAGCCTTTCACACCTGCTGTATCTGTCTGTCTGTGTGGTGCCAACCAGTGGGGAGTGGATTGGATGTGAGGCGGAAATGGATCTATAAGCTTCGACTTCCAGATGGAATCTCTAACTTCCTCTACTTTCTTTTCACGCATATGATTGGTGTGAAGCTGCTGAGCTGATAAATTAATTTGATCAGGCTAGGGGCTGGTTTGAATCCGTAGCGCCGAAGATCTGCGTTGTAGCGCGGTTGAAATGTAAAGGTAATTTCTAATTGAGCTGACATAGACAGCGTTTACCGCGACCGTGGAAACATCGCCTTTACACGTCAACGGCGCTATAATGCTGACCTTCTGCGCTATACGGATTCAATCCAGCCCTAGAGCTGATTATAGTCCTTTAGCCCAGGTCTTTAACGGTTATTATTAAAATTAGGACAAAGTAGAGTGGCAAAATGGGTCCTCAGGGAGGCAACAGATAAGATAAAATAGTGGCGGTTTTTACTGGGTTTCTCTTTGCTATTTTGGAGATCAATATTAAAATGATGCAAGATCCAGAAAGGTAGAAACACAGGACACTGTCTGCAACGTGACAAGCATTTCACCCACTAACATCTGCTAAACATGTGTATGTGACAAATAACATTTGATTTGATTTGAACGTGAGCTCACCTTGAGTTTCTCCTCTTTGACTCCGTCGGCATCGTATACTATTTCATAGTAGTACTCTATGTAGGGAACTCTGTAACAGCTCTCCTTCAGCTCACAGGTCTCCACTGTCTGGGTCAGGTGGTCCTCTGTAGCTCAATTGGTAGAGCATGGCGCTTGTAACGCCAGGGTAGTGGGTTCGATCCCCGGGACCACCCATATGTAAAAATGTATGCACACATGACTGTAAGTCGCTTTGGATAAAAGCGTATGCTAAATGGCATATTATTACTTATCAGGTAAACGTTGTTAGGGGTCTCCACCAGGGCAGAGTCAAACGCAGGTGAACCCATCTGAGAAATATACATTATAATATCGGCCATTTGGCAGACGCTTTTATCCAAAGCGACTTACTGTCATGCATGCATACATTTTACGTATGGTGGTCCCTGGAATGATGTATTCAATTAGGATGTTATGAAGTATTATATTATGATGTCTTGCTTGTCACCAGTAACATTCTGAACATGATAAGGTATCATGATACTCAGTTGACCTAGTTTCGTGTCCTTTGCGTCCATTCATGTAGCTCAATTGGTAGAGCATGGCGCTTGCAACGCCAGGGTTGTGGGTTCGTTTCCCACGGGGGGCCAGTATGAAAAATGTATGCACTCACAAAAACAAAACAAAAAACCTGTAAGTTGCTCTGGATAAGAGCGTCTGCTAAATGACGTAGATTCATGTGGCAAGACAATATTTTCTATTGGGCCCTATTGCTTTTGTGGCTACCATTGAATTATCAGTGTGCATATTACTTTGAGATGTGAATAATGATTGATTGACATTAACTCAATGAAGGATTGTTGAGACTGCAACAAGTTATATGACATAAATAAAATAACAATTTATAACCAATTGATAACACATAAAATATAAATGATAAAACGTTCAGTTTCAGGCTACAGGTATATCCATGAAAATTGTGACACTTTTAGGTCATGGGAGGATTGGTATTATTCGGCTATTAGTGGTGGTGAGAGATTCAATAAACTAAAAAAGGGTTACTAGTTTTTAATCTAAACCGATTCCTAACCTGAAGTCTGTGCGCACAAATGTTTTATGCATTGAACCTTTTTACCTTTTTTCGCAAATCTCCCATTGACATCAGTGCATGTTTAAACAAATGGAATGTTTTTGTACACTCTTTCCAAGTGTTTTGGGACGGATACACACCTGGAGAACATTTCCAACAGGAACAGCTTCCCACATCAATGACAGTCTCGTATGGCGTCTCAAAGAAGTACGTCTTGAGCGCGGGAACCCGGACACATTGCGTCAGTTTGTTTTCACAATGGATTCCTCTATGACCTCCACCTCCAGGGGGCCCTCGAACCAGCCCCGGGCCCCCCACTCTAAACCCCGGTGGGGGGCTAAACATTTTAGGGTTTAAATCCGGGGGATGGGGCGGGGCCAAAAGGCTGGGCGGGGGTTTTGGGAAAAGGGGGAAAGTTTTCGCCCCCCCTCCCTTTTTGGGTAAAAACGAAACCAAACCAAAAAAACCCCAAATGGGGAAAGAATACTTTTGTTTTTTTTGGGTTAGTTTTTATTTTTTGGTTTTAGGGTTTTCCCCAAAAATTACCTTTTTTCCATGCCCCCTTTTTAAGGCCCGGAACGCGGGTTCTTTTTTAGGAATCCCAAGTTTTTTGTTATTTTTTAAAATAAATTTCCCCAAAATTAGTGCCTTTTAAATTTTTTCCCACGGGGATTGTTAAAGGGGGAAGCCCCTTTTTTGGTTTTTTGGAATCTAAAAACGGGCCCCTTTTTGGGGGTTTGGGGGGGTTTTCCCTTTCAGGAGGGGGTTTTTTGGCCGGCCGGGGGGTTTTCCACCTCTTTTTGTTTTTTTTTTTGGGTGTTCCCACAAGGATTAAAAGGGATTTTAGGGGGTTTTACAGGGAATATGGTCGGGGCAAAAACAATTATTTTCTTACTTTAAATTTTCCCATTTTATCAGGGGTTTTTCCCCAAATCTATTTTTTCTCCCCCCAAAAAAATTAAAATTTTCTTTCCAAAAAAACCCATTACACAATTAAAAAATTTAATAATATTTTCTTTCTATTTAGCGTTTTTTCATTCTATATAGCGTTTCATTCTTAAAATTTTTTCCATTCTACATAGCGTTTCATTCATTTTATGTTTTTCATTTTTTTTATATACCCCCTTTCTTCTAAAATAGGGGGTTTCATTAAGAAATTCACTGAAAAATGTAGTTAAAATTTAAAATTTATATGAATAAACTTTTAATATAATTATAGTTTTAAAAAAAGGGGAAACTGAATTCAAGGGACCTGTTTCCCTCCCCATGGTGCTTTACCTTTTTTTCTCCCTGTCCATTGGTGTTTTTACCGTTTTTTATATCTTTGGAGTTTCCCCCCATAGGGGAGTTTCTGCTCCAAAAAGGTTTTACCCCCCTTTTCCCCAAACAGCACAGCCTGAGCCCAAAATTTTTATGCACCCCCCTACAGCCAATAGGAGTACAGGTGTCCCTATAAGAGGGGATGCCTCCCCTCAATCAGCCTCCCTTTTTCTTCAGCGACTGGATGACTAGACTGAAGAGCCAAGAAGATACGAAAGCACGAAGACTCAGGACGAAAACGCCGTTGATATTCCAGTCATCAACGTCGTCTAAATGAAGCACACCGGGAGATTTTCCACCCCCAAAAGCTATTTTCAGAGCTCAATTGCAGATGCACTTCCATGGCGGCCGGTGACCACCACGACTTATGTTTCGTGTGTTTGGGATCCCAGCATGCCAAGGAAGGCGTCTGCAGTCCCCACGAATTGCGCCTCCTGCTCCCTCCTTTCTTTAAAGGAGGAGGAAGCCAGCGTTGGGCGTTTTTTCAGGGAGGACATCCCCCTTGAGATGTGTTGTCGATACTAGCCTCTGCTTCAGAGGCGTCGTCCGACGGCGCAGACTCGGGGGAAGATAGGGATTTTGAAGGAAGGGTCCTGGCATTCCCAATGGAACAGTCGGACCCCGTCCCTCATACTTTCAAGCCCCCCTTTCCTTTGGAGAGCGAGAGGGCTTGTAGTCCCTATAGCGAAGGGGATACGAGCTCTGAGAGATCAGAAGCTCTCTCCTTTTCGCTGCAGCCCTCTCTGAGAGCGGATTTTCCGGGTCTCATTGAGAGAGCTGCTCAACGGCTGGCAATAAAGCTGCCCCCTCTTCCCTCCGCACCGGAGGTTGATATGATGGAGGGCGGTCCTTATTTCCAGGCCAAGGAAGGCGGCAGAGCCAGTGGCTCCTGCCATGCCTTCTTTGGCTAGGTACGTTGGAGGCTCGTGGGAGGCACTTTAGCGGCGCGTTCGCCTGTAAAAGCGTATCTCCCATTCACGAGAGTGGGAAGGAAGGCTTCAGGTCAGGGAAATCCCCAGGTTAGAGAGCGCCATGGCGGCATATCTCGTACCGGGTTCGAGCCCTTGGCCCTCTTCCAGAAGGCCACGTTGCCATCCCAGAAGGACCGACTCACAGCGTCGCTGTTAGAGAAGTCTTTTGGGTTGGGAGCCCAAGCTGTAGCAGCAGCTAACCAACATTGCCCTCTTGGCGCCTCTCTGTCCCATTTAACCACGGGTAAGACAGAGATGCACCGGAGGAGGTGGAGGAGGCGTCCAGAATTTCTGGCGCCATACTCCACCTTACACATGCGTCCGCAGTCTGCGCGGGGGGATCCATGGCCACTTCGGTGGTCGGGGAACGACACCTCTGGTTGTCATTGACATCTATGAAAGAGGCAGACAGGACGTCTCTCTTGAACGCCCCCCTCTCTGACGACGGCCTCTTTGGGGTCGCAGTCAAAGAGGCGACGGAGCGTTTTTCGAAGTTGGAGGAGGAGAAGAAGCAGTTGGCCAAGCACCTGCCGTTGGCAGGACGACTCGGCCCCCCTCCTCCCCAAAGGCCATCTACCTACCGCCCCTCTAAGTAGACCGGGGTCTACGACGAGGCGGCGTAATCGGCGTAATCCGGCGGCCACGAGCAGCAAGGGAGCGGGCTCGGCCCTCCCAGCAGCTACGGTAGCCCCACTACAGCCGGCGAGGGAGGTGACGAGGACGCCGACCTGGCCCCCCAAGGGAGGCAAGAGGAGGCGTACGTGACGGGACGCGGGGGAGATGGATGGAGGACGCATCGATGGTGTCGAACGTGCCCACTGTTCCCCCCCACCCTTCGGTTGAAGGGACGGGGCTGATGTAAATGCTTTTGGTTGATGTGTTTAATAAAGAGTTGGCTCCACCTGACTTTGTCAAAAAAGAGCCTCTTTTCCATAATACGTCCGAGAGCGTTCAAATCTCACCCTCTTTTCCTTACCACTCTAAGAGCCGTTTCAGCCCACCGAGGGTGCGTTGCTGAACAGGCACTAAGAGTAGGTATCCAGAAGACCTCAAGCAGGTCGTCCACATCACACTTCACGTATAAGAAGTTGCTTTACATAGAAGGCAGCAGTCCCGGTCCAGATTCTGACATGAGGACGCAGCCGCTATTTGGGGATGGCGCACTAGTACAGACTAAGGTCTCCACTAGTACGAGCCAGACCCATGCTGCGTTGCACGGAGGGCCCGATTACCGCGGTCACCAAGGTGCCCAGAGTATCGGCGCCCCCAGGCATTGTAACACAGCAGCTATCTGGGGACGGCGCATTATCGCAGACCAAGGTCTCGGTTAATGCGATTCAGACCCATGCATACGTTCACGGAGGGCAGGATTACTAGCGTTATGGGTATAACCAAAGTATCAGCTCCTCGTGACAGAACGAGCCAGTACTCACCACACTGAGCGTGAATCAACCCCACCAGGGGTGCAGAGTTGAACACACACAGAAGGTGAAAGTTTAAGAAGGTATCAAGGCTTCCCCCCCTTTTTTTTTTTTTAAACCCAAGAGACCTAAATTTTACATACTTTTTTTGGATTACTTATGAAGGGCTCTGATAGGGGAATTTGCAGCCCACCTAAGACCAACGTTTTGCGGGGGGTTTGGGTGCCCCTTCCGAAAGGCTGTTGGCCTGGGTTTTCCGCGCAATTCAGACCCGGGGATGCTTTTCAAGGGGGCCCCCAGGAAATCCCCAGGGTTTTCCCCCCGGGTTTAAATTCCCCCTTAACCCCCCCCCCCTTCCCTTCCCTTCCCCCCGAACCCCCCCCCCCCTTTCCCCACGTCCAGACCCCCCCCCCCCGGGGGGCTTTTGCCCCCCCCTTCTTTTGGGGGGGAAACCAGGGCGGAAAGGGCCTTTGAGGAATCCAGGTCCTTCCTACGGGACCCCACAGCTTGCGCCCATTTTCCCCCCTTTTTTCTCGGGCATTTTTTGGAGGGGCGAAGAAGGGGCACCCCTCACCCCGGCTGAACATAGGGTTTTAAATGGGTTTGGGGTTTTGGCCCCAAATTTTCCTCACCGGACCCCCCACCCCCTCCGGGGATTTGGTTGGAGAGGGTTTGAGGGAAACGCCAGAAAAATGGGGCCCTTTTTTGGGTGACAGGGGAAGGGAACGGTTTTGGGGCAAAGGGGAGGCGGTGACGGGTTATTTTCCCCGGGGAGAAAGGGGAACAAAGGGCCGATTGTTTCCCCGGTTTGCCCAAAAGACGGGGGGAAAATTGGGGGGGCCGAGGGGGGGGTTTTTACGCATTTTCCAAGGGGAAGCAAAACCCAAAAAGGCCCTTTCCGAATGCTCCCGACAAAACGCTGCGAATGTGTCCGAGGGGGGGCCCTTTTGGGTACACCTAGACCTAAAGGGAAAACGCGTCCTTCAGGTTCCCGGGTTTACCGCGTAAACGGGAAGTTTCGGCGGTTTCGCCTTTAAAGGGGTTTGGCTTAAAATTTTACCTGGGGTGTGCCTTTTGGGGGTTTACGCCCGGGCACCTTGCACTTTTTTCCACTTTTGGGAGGCGGCTTTGGGGGAACCCGGGTTGCGTCTTCAGGGAATACGGTTTATTTAGCCGGACTTAAAACCCCCCTATTTTTTTTCTTCGCCCCGTCAGCAGGGTGGCGCCATTTCACAAAACACAGACAGGGGATCATCCCCCAATTTGGGGTTTTTTGGGCTGGGGATTTGGAAAAATGGCTGCCCTGGCCCCATTTCAAAAATTTATTTAACCCGGGGGGGGATACGGCTAACACCTTGTGGGTTTGGGGGCTCAAATTTCGGACCCCAAAAAGGGGTTTTCCTTTTGGCTAGCCCAAGGAAGTGCCCGTCCAAAATCACACGGTGACGGCGCGGGCCCGGTATTTTTTCCCATTTTTTTGGGGTCTCATGTCGTTCAGCCCACTCTGTGGTTCCGCGGGGGACTCCTGCACTCCGCAAACGCACGTTTGGTTTCGCCCAAACCCAAAGACTGGGTTTCCCATTGCTCAAATCTGGTTTTTTGGGTTTGGGTGGGGGGTTCCCCTCTTTTTTTC